GAGAGAGAGAGAGAGAGAGAGAGAGAGAGAGAGAAAAAAAGCTGAAAAGACATAAATGGGTCCTTTGCCCACACATGCTTGGTTATCATAGCCCCAAACACAGGTAGCCTTCCTCGTGAACTGGCCCATAAAGTTGGAGAGAGCTGAGATCCTTTCCTGATAAACTTTAACCAATGGATCTACAGCTGAGACTTGTTTGTGAAGATCTGAGTTGGTACTGAGCCACTACCTGGCTATCTGCCACAGGCAGCAGGAACTCATCAAGACAACTGTGCCCTTTCCATCTGTTCTTGGGGCCAAGCACCTCTCCACCTTCACTTTCCATTAGGAACTTGACAGACAGGTGCAAAGCTACTGCAGCCAGGTCCCTATGGTAGGCCTCCCATGGGCCAGTGTCTGCCTCAGATTGCATCACACAACCAAGGCTCTCTAGACATAGGCCAGCATTACCTGAAACTAACAGATATCTCTGGACTCTGAGCAACAGGACCAAGGTCTCTCTGTAGCCCAAATGTTGTAGTGAGGACATGAAGGACCTTAGACCTAGTAGACCACTCTTCTATAGTGTCTGTACACAGCCTCCTGGTCAGAAGTTGCCAGCCCTGTGTCAAATTCTACCACTTAGGGACTTATCTGGAAATTTTCCTTAGTTTCAAAATCCCCTTATGTGTATTGCTGTTTGAACTGGGCTGTGCCTTCTTTCTCATGTCAGCTGCTCACTCGAGAGATGTATTTCTAGAGTTTGGGGTGCCTTAGGGCCCTAGGGCCTCCAGTGTCAGAAGGACATGGATATGTTTCTGTGACTACTTCTGATATCCACTGAGGAGGAGCTACAGGTCTAATAGATACCACAGAGAAGTAGGGTAAGAGGCTGCAGAAGTGGGTGACACTGTAGGCACAAGTGCTTTCTTTCTCTCTCTCTCTCTCTCTCTCTCTCTCTCTCTCCCTCTCCCTCTTTCCTCTCTCTCTCTCTGTCTCTCTGTATCTCTTTCTTTCTCTCAGGTTCCTTTCTACCTGCTCTGCTGGATGCCCAGCCCCATGCCTATAGTCATACAGGTAGGCTTCATATTCATGTGATTTTTTTCAGTATTTTGGAAATGGAGGCATTTCTTCCCATAGAGTCCATGTATTTTGCTCACAAAGACATTGTGATTTAGGAATGGGTGGGGCTTGATCCCTGACACAGAAAGTAGAAGGGATCTTGAGAGCTTGTTTGGGCTGATAAGCAGCAGTCCCTGTCTCCAGCCTCTTTGCTCTCTGGCACACCTGTGTACTGTGGTCATTTCACCATCATCCTAGTGAAGACAGCTTGTGGAGAGGTATCTTCATTTTCCCCAGAAGGGATAATGACCCTGGACTTCACCCTTCTTTCATCTTACCAGGCTACACAGACAGCACAAACAGGAAGCTGTTCCTGACTCCTCTGGACAGTGACCGTAGGGCAGGTATTGGAGGTGAGTCCCGAACAGGGAGGGGATTCTCAGGTTGGTTGACATGGTGGTTCTCATCTGAGACATGAATTCTGACACAGGAGAATCCATTGTTATTGGCCTTATGTGTCTTTAAAGACATATAAGGAGAGGGGTATGTGGGCTTGTCTGGACTACAGTTGCCAGAGAAAATATAGGCAGGATTTGAGACATATTTTACTAAAGTGTGATCTTGTTTATTTTGGCTCCCTGTATTTTGTCTTCTAAATCTGATAACTGTGTCTGTTCACTCGTAGTGCTCAGGGACACCGTGTGTATCTCCTAATATACTGGTCAGTGACTGATAAAGCTCCTTGTAAAACCAAGGAACTTCTTTTTGTGTGAAGCTTGGGTAGAGCAGACAGTGGTCTGAGGCCCTGTGGAAACAAATACAGTGAAGATCCATCCCAGGAGAGGGCACCCAGGCCTGCTAACCCTGACAATGCCTTCATCATATTGATGTTGGTTTGCTGGCTTGGAAATGGGAGCTAGCACAGCATGAGATACCCACACATCTCTCCCTGTAAGCCCCTGTGGAGGAATATGGGATGAAGAGATCTGGGAGGTCATAAAGACCTCCAGCAAATGTCCAGGACCATATTCTCTTTCAGAACATTCTTCCCTGGGAGCATGTGAAATACTTTATTCAAGAGCCTGAAACTCATTCTTAGCCTTGATTTGATAGTTGGCTGAGAACAGCCAGTTCACACTTCATGCCCTCCGGTGACAGGCCACACTGGAACATTCTGCACCTCAGCATGGACTCAGCTTCTGACTCACAATCAAGGATTCATCATTCACTATACCTTAATTGCCATAGTCAGTTGATGGGAAGTGGCAAGTGGTTAGTACATACACATAGGCCTGAGCGTGTATGGGCACAGCACTCTGACCGCTCCATATGGGCTTCGTTTTTCAGTCTACGTATTATATCGGTAGCAGTAGGGCCTATGTATTCCAGCTACATGTTGGACAGTGACTGGCAGTGTGAGGTCCTACAGGGTCTGCTAGAGTATTTGAGATAGCTCCTTGGGCAGCCTTGCAGGATATGGGTTCAGGACCAGCTGAGTTCCTGTGACTCTAAGTTTGAGTCAGATAAACACTGATAGTCCAGCAGTCCTAGGCCCTCCAGAAGAACTGGACTTCATCCTCACATTGGGCATGAGTCTTGAATGGTCTTCCCTGGCCTGGTGTTTTGGTAGGAATGGAGTTCCAGGAAGGGCGGGTTCTGGGTCATTGGTGATCTGGATGAGGAGCCACATTATCCCACTTAAGTCTGTTCCTGGAGAGTCTGTCACTTTCTCAAGGTACTGCATGTTATTCCTCACACTAGGATCAGCAACTAGCAGCAAAGTAAACCCTTCTCACTACCCCTGCACCCTTCCACACCCCTACTGATGATTAATCCTGTCTTTCTAGCACCCTCACTACGGTCTCCAGTTACTGAGTCCTTGGTGACTCAACCCCCTTATCTATACCTTGAGAAATAAAGAATTCAAATCATCCTTTAAAAAACTCCTTTTTCCCCCTTTGATGACTCTGCGTGTGCAGAGCAACTCTGGAAGCTTCAGGTGAGGAGCTGAGAGAAGCTCCCAGCCCCGCTTTATGTATCCCCTGACTCTGGAGTACATAGGCTGGGTAATAGTCCCCAGGCTAGCTGTCCAAACCTGTACGTAAGGAATATCACACTCTGTAACCAGACAATGCTGGTTTGTATTCTATTAAATGTTTTAGTAAGCCTTAAGGATTTATATCTAACTAATATATTGAAATGTATGCTTATAAGTTCAATGTTATTAAAATAGTAAGATATTTCTGTGATTTAGTGAATCAAATCCCACTACTAGTTAAATTTTGAGTGTGTTTATTTAGTGACTCATATTTAAATTCCTTGAATCTTAGCAGCAATACCCACTACTGGATTGTCACAGAGATGAGGAAACCTACACCCATCCACACCTCCTGTGGACATATGTTAATCTGGTTTGACTCTTTTCATCATTTTTATTCTCATTTCACAGTTTTCCCTGGTACTTGGCTCATCCACCAGCCTGAGGGAAAGAAATTCCTATAGAGGCCTGAGAGCCTCTGATTCCTATTAAACCTCCTCTGGTTTCAACATCCAGACATGTTAGACCAAAGTAAGATCCTGATTTCGTGGCCTCTTCTCAGACCTTGTGTTATTTCAGATGTTTGCTAAGTTTTAACTCACTTATTCCTCAGCAAGTCTCCCTCTCCAGTGAGTTTTGTGTGACCTGCCCACACTTAAAGAACCATTATTATTAGATGTTGCATGTTGTATATAATGTTAACATGTCCTACTGTGACAGGAACTCAGAAATAAAGTGTTTATGAAATGCATGCACATTGGTGCGAACATGTGTACCTGTGAGCATCTTGCACACTGTTAATTTGGGTGATTATCAATTCTCTGATTTACATAGAATCATGTGACTAATACAGAAGAAGTGACACAAATCATGAGTAAGATGTGAAGTAAGCAGTATGGAGGAAAACATCAGGCAAGACAGGACTGTGCCAGTGATTCATAGTTGTGTTGGTCAATCTTCATGGTTACTTTGACTGATTAAAGTCACCTAGGAATCTGCTGGGAGACATCTTTGAATGTGTCTGTGAGAGTTGTTCCTGAGAGGATTCATTGAGCAGCCATGGCCCTACCTTCAATGTAGATAGTACAACTGTAAACACTGGGGTCCAGCAAGGATAGAATGAGAGGTGAGAGAGAAAACCAGTTAAATTCAGGTGTTCCTCTCTATTTCTGGCTGAGGTAAAGAATCTTCTCAACCATACACTACCACTGTGTCGAGGCTCCGTACTCAATGGGTCCACAGTGATGTGTCATTTTTGACTGATAAAGGAAGAATGAGTCAGGGTGGCATGTGGACATCTGAAGAACAGGGCGTGACCACATATGAAGGAAGGAGGGGAAACTGAGAACAGACTATTATTTACTGATGTTCTTACTGAGATAGTGATACACATAAACAAACAGCAGCTCTTCCTACGTAGCCTTGATCAATGTAATGGGTAATAGCTGATAGGGAAGAACTGGGCTAAGAGAAGCACGGCTGTCTTCTGTCCTTTTGGAAGGCAACACGTCTTCTTAAATGGAAGAAGAGTACCTGTCGGTACCTGGGGTGGTGGTAATGCTGATTAGACTTTTTTTGTCTTTTTTGAGACAGGGTCTCCTTGTAGCCCCAGCTGTCCTGGAACTCACTACGTAGACCAGGCTGGCCTCGAACTCACAAAATCTGCCTGCCTCTGCCTCCCAAGTGCTGGGATTAAAGGCATGCGCCACCACACCCGGCCTTAGACTTTTATTTGGTGTGTATAGATAAGTATTGCTAATCAAAACAATGAAAGAGCAGTACAAAAACCACATATTCCAGTTCTTTATTTAAGGGCCATTTTCTATAGTGTCCATAGCCAAGTTCCAACACCATGAAGCTGTTATCAGCAAGGCAGGTAGAGGAGGAGCCCACACAAGCAGAATAGCCTGAATACTTCCATCTAATGTTGAAAAGGGTGCAAGAATCTCCTTAGGGAATGCTTGACATCTTTGTTCCTCAGTGTATAGATGAGGGGGTTCAGAGTGGGACTCAGGATTGAGTACAGGACTGCAGACACTTTGCTTCTATCTGGGCTGTAGCTGGAAGCAGGGCTGATGTAGGCACAGAACACAGACGAGTAGTACACAGAGACTACAATGAGGTGAGACGAACAGGTGGAGAAGGCTTTCCTTTTGCCCTCAGCTGAGTGCATGCGTAGGATGCAAGTGATGATGTAGCCATAAGACAGCATGGTGAGCAGAAAATTGATGCCTCCATAGAAGGCATCTGCCATGAGAGTCATGATGCTGTTCACATGTGTGGGGCTGCAGGAGAGAAGCAAGAGTGGAGGGATCTCACAGAAGAAGTGGGTGATGACATTGGGTCCACAAAACAACAGCCGTGTCATCAGACCAGTGTGGACAGAAGCATTCAGGGCACAAATGGTCCACACACCCATGACCAGGGCCCCACACAGCCATGGGCTCATCCTGAAGCTATAGTGCAAGGGAAAGCAAATGGCCACATAGCGGTCATAGGCCATGACTGTGAGCAGCAGCAGCTCAGAGGATAAAGACCAGATGAGGAAGAAGAGCTGTACCATACAGCCCTGGAAGGATATGGTGTTTTTTTCAGACGTTAGGCCAACCAGAGCCTTGGGCAGCACAGAGGAGGTGCAGATAATGTCCATAGTGGCCAAATTACTCAAGAAAAAGTACATGGGGCTGTGGAGCCCAGTGCTTGAGCTGACCAAAGCAATGATCAGAGCATTGCCTATGAGTGCTATGATGTAGAGAGACAGGAAGCAACAGAATAGGAGCAATTTCAGACTGGGGTGTTTTGAGATCCCTTGCAGTATGAACTCAGTCACCATTGTCTGGTTAGGGTTTGACATCAGGATGGAGTGGCCCTGTGCCCACTTCTGTGTCTTCATGTCTGTGATAAGAGAAGATCAGTTATTTTAGACCCCCTTTTTCCCACATATTTCTATTTTATAAGTTACTATGCTTTCTGTAAGGGAATAAGTCCCAAATTGGCATATTGGTTGTCCTGAACCCTGAACATGTACGTGACTTATTTAATACATTGGTATGCTTGTGTGTATGCTGCATATGTATGAGTGATTGTGAATACAAATGCTGAAGCAGTACAGTACCTTGAAAATTTCCATGATGATGGAGATGTTCTTTTTTAAAAAAGTATTTATTTAATAGCCACATACTTAGAAGAAGCATTTCATTACATCTGCATTGACATATTCAATAACAATTTTCTGAGCTAGGATGCATCTCTTACAAAATTGGCTGTACAGTTTTAGGTTTACAGTTGAATTATTACAATTATACAATATTGTACTCAGTATAAACCCCATAAGACATAAAATTAAATGATGTTTTAACCTTTAAAAAATCTCCATTTCATTACTAAAATGCAGAGTTTCATGCAGAAAACTTCATTTTTAATGCAATTGAAGTAACACAGACTCAAAAAAAAATTGACATATGTTCTCCCTCATATGTGGATCCTAGAACCACACCCTGATAGTGACTATGTAACCAGACATAATTACAGGAATCAGGATAATGGAAAGGAACCAGGGAGGTTAAGGAAAAGAAAGAACCTGAAAGAGAAGAACAGTAGGAAACAGGCGTTAATAAGGGAGATATGGCTAAAAATTGGGTTAGTTTAAGGGAGGGGGAGGAGGGAAGGGTATACAAAGACCTAGTGGATAAATGGAAAGAAGGAGCTCAAGAGAGGTAGGACCATAGGAGACGGGCATTAGTAAGGGAGAAAGGGGGGAAATGGGGGCACTTTAAGTGGGAAAACCATGATGGAGGGGTGAGACAATGCGAGAGACAAACAATGCCTAGCTAGCTTTGAAAACCGGAGGGAACCATATTACTCCTACAACCTACTGACAAATTATACATAGACGATCAAGAAATATATGTCTAGATAAGTTTTATCTGAGAACAACTGGTCTTTGTCCAAGATTTATCTACATGACACACAGTAATTAAAATTACCAGACTGATGGAACTAACCTTCTTGGATGTTTAACAGACATACTTTGAGGCCTATAATAATTTGGTCAGAGGGACATAAAGCACCCTTTTTGCTCCTTGCACTCCTAGGTCGACTAGTTCCAGGAAGACTATGAGCATCTCTCAAAATGTCCTGTAATGGAGATGTTCTTTTTTTTTTTAAAAAAAACATGTGTTTTTTTCATATACATTATATAATATGGCCCATAGCGTCTGATTTGTGTACCCATATGTCCTTAAGTGTGGGTCCATCCACTGGAGCCTGGTTAACCTTCCAAGAGTCTCACCCTTGTCAGACACTGTCTCCCCCTCCCTCCCAGCAGCCATCAATTGCCAAAAATTCCTTAGCTTGGTTTGGGATTTCTTACCCACTTCCTTATGCCTATGCTAGAATTTTTCTGGTTTGACCTTGCATGGGACTTGTTCATACTGTCACCATTGTTGTGAGTTCATATTGTAATTGACCAGCTGTCTGGAAAACTGTTTCTTTGTGGTCATCTACTACCTCTGGCTCTTACAATCTTTCCAGAGTTTTTCTTTTACATTTTTATACTGTCCAGTAATGTAGCTACCACACATATTATAGTGTGGGTGTGCCACTGAGGAACTGAATCTAAAGTTGTGGTTACTTTAAAGTTAACTAGATGCATAGGACTTGTGTTTATTATATTTTGAAACTGTAAAAGCAACCACTAAATACTAACACAAAAATATGCTAGCATTAATATAAAATAATAAAACAATTTTGGAAAGAAAAGAGAAGGTAATAACAAAAATATGGGAGATAGAAAAATTCTGATTGCATTAGTCATTTTTATTAGTGCTGTGGGTGAAAAACTGACAGAAACAATTTAAAGGAGTGAGGTTCTGTTTTTCCTCACAGTTTCAGAGGTCTCCCTTCAGTATAGTTGTGGTGGGTAGCATGGTGGAGCAGAATAGCTCACAATATAGTGAGCTGGATAGGAACAGGAAACAGAGAAAGGGAATGTAGGAAAATCTAGGGCAAGATAAATCCCAAATCACATACTCTAGAGACCTAGTTTCTCTACATAGGCCCCAACCTCTATCTTTCACCACTTCCTAATAATGCCATCATATTATAAATCCAGGAAGGGATTAATTTCTTCCTTAGGTCAGAGCTCTCCTTATGTAACTGTCCTTGGAAATACCCTCACAGACTTCCTTGGAAGAGAACTTCACGAACCCTAAGTTTTTCTCAATTCAATCAAGTTGACAATAAAGATTAACCATCACAACAATGAAACCAGAATTCTGTTAAATGATAATAGACTAGTGTATTAGTTACTTTTCTTATTACTATGAAAAAAATACCTGACAGAAGCAATGTAATGGAGGAAAGAATTTTTTTTTGGCTCACAGTTTAGAGGTATGATCCCGCTATCAATCATAGTGGGAAGGCATAGCAACTAGAGTGGCTCAGTCCACGATGGTGGGAGTGTGAGGAAGCATCTGCTCATATCTTGGTGGTGACTCTGGAGCTGGGATCTGGGGCTACAAATAAGGCTGGGCTACCCTCTTCAAAGGCTCACCCTCAGTGACCCACCTTCACAAGTCACCCCTCCCACCCCAAAGATTTCACAGCTTCTCAAACAGTACCACCAACTGGGACTAAGTGTTCAAACACATGAGCCTGAAGTCCTGGGATTATATCACATTCAAATCACAGCTAAGCATTCCAGCTAAACATAAAGATTATCAGAATGGACAGAAAATTAAAAACAAGACTTTGAGGATAGATAATATGACATTTTAAATAGCTTGTGCTTCCATTTTTTAAAATTGTGCATGCAAATGTGTATATATGTGTATTATGTGGTTTTTTTATGATGTATATACTTGTTACTGTAGGTATGTATGTACATGAGGGTACATGTGCTTATGTACGTGCATATGTGTGGAAGCCAGAGGTTGGTGTTAGGTGTCTTTTGTCAGCTGCTCTCCACCTTTAGTTTCCGAGACAAGATCTCTTATTCAATCTGAAGTCCATTGATGTAGTTAGGTTGAATGGCCAACGAGCTTCAGAGATTTGCCTGCATCTGCCTACTAAGACTGGGATTACAGTTATATGCAACCATATGCTGGGGATCCAGACTCAGATCCTCATGCTTATTCCATTTATCTGTGTGTCTGTTCTTGTGTTAGTACCATGCTGTTTTCATTACTATAGCTCTGAAATATAGGTTGAAATCTGGTATAGTGCTTCATCCAACATTATTCTTTTTGGCTCAAGGTTTCTTTGGCTAATCGGGGGTCTTTTGTCTTCTATATGAATTTTAAGATTTTTTCTATTTCTATAAAGAATGTTTCAGGGGATTTTGATTGGGAATGCATTGAATCTGTAAAAAAAATTTTTTTGACAAGATGGCCATTTAACAATATTAATTTTACCAATACATGAACATGGGAGATTATATTAATTACTTTTCAGTTGCTGTGATAAGATACTGACCAAAGCAACTTAGAGAAGGAAGAGTTTATTTGATTTATGATTCCAGAGGGATTAGAGTTCATAATGGTAGGGGTGGCATGGCAGAAGGAGGTGGCTGGATTAGAAAGCAAAGTAATCACATCTTCAAGCAGGGACAGGAAGCAGAGAGGCAGGAAATAGGGCAAGGCTTAACTCTTAAAGCCCACCTCCAGTGATGTGCTTTGTCCAGCAAGGCCACACCTCCCAAAGCCTCCCAAAACAGCACCACCAACTGGGAACAAAATGTCCAACACTTGGAGCCTATGGGGGATATTTTCATTCAAACCATCACACAGACTTTTCCATTTTTTAGTGTCTTCCTCAATTTCTTTCTTCAGAGATTTAAAGTTTTCATTGTAGAGCTCTTTCATTTTCTTGGTTAGGTTTATTCTTATATATTTTATTTTTGAGGCTATTGTAAATAGGAATGTTTATATGATCTCTTTTTCAGTATTCTTTCTATTGGTATATAGAAAAAAACTACTGATTTTTTGTAACTTTAAGATTTCATCTAACCCTATCAAGAATGGCTAAGATCAAGAAAACAGCTGACAACAAATGCTGAAGAGGATGTGCGGAAAAGGGGACACTCATTCCCTGTAGTGGGATTGCAAACTAATGCAGCCACATGGAAATTAGTTTGGAGAATACTCAAGAAGCTAGAAGTAGATCTACTATATGACCCATATATACCACTCCTTGGCATATACACAAAGGACTAGATATGCTACTACTAAGAGATACTTGCTTAGCTATCACATACTCTTTTCACAACAGTTAGGAAGTAGAAACAACTCAAATGTCCTTCAATTAATGGATAATGAAAATGTGGTGCATATGCACAATGGAATTTGATTCAGCTGTTAAGACAAGTGAAATCATGAACCTTGGCAGATAAATGGATGGAACTGGAAGATGTTATACTAGGTGAGGTAACCCAGACCCATTAAGACAAATGCCATTCTCTCTTACTTGTGGGTCCTAGTTCCAAATAAGCCTGAAGTGACTGCAGAAGCCAGGAAACTAGAAAGAGATCATGAGGGAAGAAGGAAAGGAGCTCTACAGAGGGAGGTAGTGAGACACAATTGTTATCGAGGGGAAATGGTAAAAACGGGGGAAATTTAACTGGGGAGGAGTGAGAGAGTAATACAGAGGGAGAGGGAAGAAGGAAAGACAACATTAAGGATGTTTGAAAAAGCCATGGGGAAACATGTAATTTTATAAGCTTACTTAAAGACACACACACACACACACACACACACACACACACACACACACAGGAGTTACATCACCCAGGGTGATAATCCTTCACTCAACTGTCATAGACTATGTAACAAAAACCCCAGTGTCAAACATGAGAAACCTACC